AAGTCGCCAGCCTGAATTCTTGTTTTTCAACTTTTCACTTTGAAATAAATTTAGATTTAAAGATGACATAAGATTCATGTCTGTCGAACTATGAACCAATAGCTGAGGAGCCCCCAGCTAGATCAGACCCTGTGGATAAGTGAGACAGTTGATTAGTTAAATCTGTCTGGGAGGCATCCAGGCACTGGGACCGGGACCTGTCCTCAGTGCACAAGCTGGCTGTTTGGAACCTGGGGCTTATACAGGGACACTTGGCTCAGCCTGGGAGGAGGGGACTGGACCTGCCTGGACTGAATCTACCAGGTTGAACTCAATCCCCAGGGGAGTCTTTGCCCTGGAGGAAATGGGAATGTGGGGTGGGCTGGGGGAAAGGTGGTGGGGGGAAGGACAGGGGAATCTGTGGCTGATATGTAAAATTAAATTAAATTATAAAATTTAGAAAAATAAAAAGAAATCAGAAGAGAAAAAAAAAAGATTCACGTCTGTCCTTCGCCCAGCTTCCCCATTGCTACCTCTAATAACCCTAAATTCTAGAAATTATTATGGTTTCATCAGTTTTCCCATTAACGTCCTTTTATTGGCCTAAGATTCAAGCCATGATATTACGTAACATTTAGTTCTTATGCCTTTGAAACAAAGAGTTTAATATGAACTCTTTTAGTTTACTGAAACAAAATTATGGGAGAATATAAATCTAACAATGAGTTCATCCTATGGTAACAATGTGTGTTAACAATGCTCCATACATGTTTCAAAGATTCTTGGGGAACCATAAAAGACCACCCTGCATGTTGGTGGATACAGTAAGCCAAAATGAAATGCTGGGCACTGTCTTATAAATTTGGAAATACCAGAAATCAAAGACTTAAGCAAAATAGTTTTCCCCAGGGGAAAATCTTCATTGAGGGTGGTGGAGATACTGTCTGGGATTCAGGCTGTGAATTCCAGGGATTCAGGATAAGTGCCAACTAGACTGCTTTGGTCTTTTGGTATGTATTTATTGGGGGCCTGCTATATGCTAGCATTATTCTAGGCACTGGGAACACAGTAGTGAATAAGACAAAGTTCCTAAGTTCACAGAGCTTATATTTAATGAGGGAAACAAATAATAAGGAAGTGTGGGTCTAGCAGTAAGTATATTCCGAAAACAGAGCATATTGGGGGTATAGAGGATGAAGGACATTGGGTCAAAGGAAGTGAGCACTGTGCACTTGAAACACTAAGGATCATGAGCTGGGACGATTGCTCTGCTCTGCACAGCACATTGCAGATTGTGGAAAACAAAGATCCTGGCCAATGTGTCTAGTGTTAGACTTGCATTGATGCTGCCATACCTCTGTGGGACAGTTGTCCTTTTGTCTCCTTTCTGTTATGTGGATTGTCATTGATTACTTAATTCAAATATTCAGCTCTAATAAAATAGATGCTTTAAAAAGTCTTTGCAGATTCTCTGAAGCGCAGGGAGTAGAAATGGTACAATATACAGAACATTCTTCCTCCACATACAGACTGCCCAAAATAAGCTTCATCAAATTCCATATTGACTAAATTTTTATTAACTACCCTTAAATAGGATGTTAAAATGATAGATGCTTGTCTTAGATGTAGATTATTTTAGAATTCCCTTCTCCTAGAAGCATCATGCCTTTTATTTCTCCCCTCTTCTCTCACTCCCCCTCACTTCCAGAAGGAATTGAATACCTAAGAGACAATACAGCTGAGAGGTGTGAAGAATCCTAGCTCAGAGAACCTTCCACCATGAGACAACTCAGCTTCACACAACTTCCCATTCCATCTTGCTGCACACAAGACTTGTGTATCCCATAGTATATGCTAACCAAAGTCAGAAGAACCCCCTGAGAACAGACCTGACCCCCCCCCCCTCCAAGGGAAACATACTCATAGGGGACTAGGTAAGGCCTCCTGGACATCTTAGTGGTGGAAGCAGGCACCCTGCTTTAGCATGCCGTGTTCGAAGCAGTGGCTTTCAGCATGGACACCATGAGTAGCAGGACTCAGCTCTGAAAGCAGCACCCTGTAAAGATGGCTCTCAGTTAGCAAGTTTTCTTCAGCAGATCCTGTGTACTGTCAAGTTTCTGTTTGTCCCTCCTTCCTCTTAAAATAAACCTGGAAGCTAATTTACTTACACAAGACAGCCAAATTGCAGAAAAGTCACCACCAACTCCTCCCCAGAACAGATTAACAGCCTGCAGCCAACAGGGGGTGGGGGTGGGGCGGCATGCAATTGCTCCCCAGCCTGTGAGCAATCTCTTTCCTTCCAAATCTTTCACTGAGACTGGAGTCTGAACACAAAGTCATAATCGTCTAGGAGAAAATGCCTGGGGACTAATTGGTACCAGTTCAGGGGCAGCTGGGTCCTGTGGTGAAGAAGCTGTCTCCCACGTTCCTGACTTTCCAGTCCGGTGATTGGTGGCGATGGGGCGAAGCAGACAGCGGAGTGTGGAAGGAGGAAAGCAAAGATCTTAGATTCCAAACATCGAAAATGTAGAGGAAGAGGAGGGGAGAGAGGCGTCGCCTGTCAGCTTCACACTAGTCCCCCACAGGCAAAAACAAAACAAAACAAACAAAATCAGTTTTTCTTCTTTCTTTCCTTTTTTCCTTTCCCTTTCTTTCTTTCTTTCTTTTGTTTTTGGGGAGCTTTTTGCCTCTCCTCAAATAGTTTGGGAGTTCATGGCAAAGCAGCTGCAAATGGCCGGCCGTTTCAAACTAGCCAGCATCTGGCTTCTCTCCTCAGCTGGGGGCACACAAGGGTCAAGGGACTGTAAGCAAGAGCCGGGCACGCTCTGAAGTGAGCAGCTGCTTGGTGGAACCTGTTGGGATCGCAAAGTCTGGGGGTTCATCCTCCAAAGGAGGCAGCAGAGAGACAGCTGAAGTGGGGGCCAAGGTCACACTGAGTTTTCTCATTAGCACCAGAACCCAAACCCCAGCTCTGACTCAGCCCAGGGCTCTCTCTCCCGTTAGTGGTTGAGCAATATTCACTGAGCGCTGTTCTTCTGCGGCTCCAACAACGGGGTTAGAAAGAGGGCCCATTACATGATGGTCCCCTGGGGTGGGTGGCTTGGACAGATAGTCGCAACTAGGTCATTTCCACCCTTGAAGCCAGGCAATGAGCCGGGCTGCTAAGGGACCCTGGGGTCTGTCCTCAAGACAAACTTGGTCTCTGAGTCATCTATGTGTCTGAAAGGTTTTGGATCATTGAATCTGGCGCAGACAGAGAGGATGCATGGGGATGGCCTAACAAAGGCTGCTCAGGCAGCCTCTGCCTTTCCTCCATCTTCACCTGTTTGTGTAATTGCTGTCTCCTCAGGCCGGCAGGCCCTCTCCTCAGATGACACAAACTGACGCTTTCCTCACTGAGGCTGGGCTTCTGCTCGGGTCTTGTAGATCCCACCTGCTCCCAGGATGACAAACTAGCTTGAGTGTGGTTCTGGGCCCCAGGCTCTGCTGACGAGAGTCCACCTGAGGTGGAGACAGCAGCCTCTTGGGAGCCCATGCTATAGCTCAGCATACATTCTTTAAAGTGGAGCCGGGCGGTGGTGGCGCACGCCTTTAGTCCCAGCACTCGGGAGGCAGAGCCAGGTGGATCTCTGTGAGTTCGAGGCCAGCCTGGACTACCAAGTGAGTTCCAGGAAAGGCGCAAAGCTACACAGAGAAACCCTGTCTCGAAAAACCAAAAAAAATAAAAAAAAAAAAAAAAAAAAATAAAGTGGAGACTTCCTGGATCTAAAGCTTGTCTCAATAGCTGAGAGAAACCCCCTTATTCCTCTACTGGAGTTTGGCTACCTACATCATGAGTGATAAGCTTGTTTTAAGCATTAAATAAGGTAATTGTATTAAGTGCTTGATGTGATGTATGCTCAAGGAAGCGTCTAATAAATGAGACTGTTTTTAATGATGCCCCCTTCTGTCCAGCTACTTCACTCACTGGTGCCATTTTCTCCTGGAGGGCTGGTAGTGTCACCACTAAGGTTGGATGTTAACCCCTCCAGCCCTTCACTCCACCAGTGCCTTGCAGGAGCCCCCTCACACAGTGGTCTTGCTCAGGAGATAGCAGAGGTGGCAGCCTTCCAGCTGGGCTACCTCCTCCCTCAGTCGGACTCTCCTAGGGTCAGTCTCCACCCTCTCCCCAAGCCCTGAAATGATGGCTCTATTCAGACAGCTGTGAATGACTGGTCTAGCCATCATTGGCTATGGAAACTGGCTTCCGACTAAATACCAGGGCTGGGACAGTCACACAGAGAAGCACAAGCTGGGACCAATTCTACTCCATTGACTAGGGCAAAGGGCAGACGGCAGGAGAGCACCTCTAAAAACCTTTGGTGAACTATACCCTGGCAACAGAGGCTGCTTTAAATCACAGGAGAGGGAAAGAGAAAGGGAGGAGAGGGAGAGAGACACACAGAAAAATCTTAGTACTAAAAATTGACAGCTCCTATTTCCTCAAAACAGCAGAGAGCTATTGGACTTCAACCCCCTCTGCTTCCATTTCTCAGTCCCTTTTACCCAATCACTTGCTCTGAATCAGTCATTTTCAGACTACTGGTGCTGAGGACCCAATTGTTTATTTTCTTCAGACTTCTGGAATAATGTTTTTGGAAAACAGTAAATCATTACAAAATAAAAACATCATTCCAACATCACAGCGATGCTCACTTACTTTAAGTTCCATTAGGAATTTCAATTTTTTTGCAGATTGATAAACATTCTACAGACACACACCCAGCCCGCAGGTCCTAAGCCTAGAGACGGCCTTTGAAGAAGTAGAACCACATAGAAGTCCATCTTCCATGGGCATAGCCTGTCCTGGTTTTCACCTTACAATGCCTTCTACCTAGTAGCAGCCCTGCTCATGAAAGCATGCAATAATAGTAAGTTTAGAATATGCCCAGGCTAAGAGCAATGCTAATCCTTGAGGACAAACTTCCTCCTGGAGGACGTAAACCGATGTTCCCATCCCAAGTGCACCAGCTGCTCCTTACCATTCCATGCCAGCCCTATTGATTTCTTCCCACCAGCATTCCGTGGGCTCCCCAAGGCTTTGGGGTGTGGGCATGCAGGCATAGTTCCATTGTCTGTCAGAGCCTTCCTTCTTGCTAAAGATGCTCCTCACGGCTACCACCACTTGCCCATGGGGACACTGGTAGCTAAAGCCTTGCCGGTTCAGATTCACCCAGCCATCATCACTATAGTCGTGGTACTGCTGATATGGGTACCCGTAGTCCCCGTACTGGCCCCAGGCTGTGGTTACCAGTGGCAGAAGTACCCACAGAAGAGTGAGGTCCATACTGCCTGGCTTTTGGCAAAAAAAATGTCACCTTAAGTTTTCAGGGCTGACTTTTATACAGCTGCCGCTGACATGTGGCTTCCAGATGTGGGTGAACTGGATCCAACTGCAGTGTGTCATTGCTCAAGCAAAAGCTTTTCCACGCTGAGAAATTGGCCTTGCTTGCGTCCAGCTCGTTTTAAGGTGGAATTCTAGGAATATGCAAGGAACATGTAAATCAAGGAAACTCTCTGGAGAATCACTTCATGGGGAGGATCCGGGCCAGCTGCTCCAGCCTTCTGAGAAACACCTAAGAAAGACCTCTCAGCCAGTGGATCCCTTCTTCTCCCTACATCCCATCCCTCTGTCCCACTGCCCTCCTCACTAGCAAACCCTGTATCCAGTCTCCAGCTTAGCCTTCTAGAATCACACAAATATTGAGACAGTGATTTCAAAATATAAGTCAGTCAAAATGGTAAGTTAAAGGGATGCAACCATGTAGATTCCCGCAAACCTAGTTACCTGGTTTCCTTCACGTTTTTCGCTGAACATCTTTGAATTTGGGGTAGAAGCGGTTGTATCAGTTTTCAGGTCTACCAGTAGAAGTCCTAACTTGCCAGTAGAAGTACTATTGGTGCACTCAGAGAGCAGCTGGGCATTGTCTCTGTACTTAAGCATCTGCCTGAGCTGCTGGAATCGATCCCTTCAGCTCTAGAATCTGCACACTGCTCTTCAATACTTAACATAATGGGTTAAATTCAAGTAACATAATGCATAATGGGTTAAATTCTAATGAATCTTACTTTTTATCTGTTGGTGCTTTTTACTTTATGTTGACTTTTCGTTGATGTACAGTGTATAAAACAAAGGTCAGCTTTTCAACCGTGTAGTGCACAGTCCTGTAGTCAGCACTGAAATCAAGCTATAGAACAAACGGGATGACAGGGCATCTCCTTATAGCCCTCTGCATCCACTTCTTTCCCAATACCTAATTCTGGTACCCAACAATCTGTTTTCTTTCTCTAGTTTTACCTGTTCGAGATTTCCAATAAATGGAGTGATACTGTGGTCATTCTTTCAGTTACCCCTGCTTTTGAGACTCACCTGCACGGTGTCAGTAGTTCACCCCCTTTTATTGCTGAGAAGGGTTCCACAGTAGGCATGTCCCATACAAATGTACTATCCGAAGCATGGATGAGTTATTTCAAGTATGTAAAAATTGCGTACAATTACATATAAGTACTTATGAATAAAGTTTCTATGAAGGCACAGGAGTTTTTATATAAACAGTTTCTTCGTCACTTCACTTTTGTAGATACTTAGGACTGGGATTTCCAGATCATTGTTAGGTTAGAATATGTTTAACTTTAAAAGAAGCTTCCTGGTATTACTATTGTACTACCCTACCAGAAAATGACCCTTTCTTTTTAAATTGTGGTCATTATAATAGGTGTATAGTGACAGTTTCAAGTGCATATTTTTATTTTCTGGCTAATGATTTTGAAAACTTTTGTTTCATTTGTTTATTGGTATGACACACATTTTTCATGTCTCAGCTATTCTAGTATTTTGAATCATTTGGGCATCTCTTTTTAACTTTTTATTTGCATTTACTTTTTTATTGACAATAGATAAATTATAATATATTTTGATTATGGTTTCCCCTCCCTCATCTCCTCCCAGATCCACCTCACTTCCCCATCCACCCAAATCTACACCATTTCTTTCTCTCTCTCATTAAGATACAAATAAAATTCTAAAAAAATAATAATAATAAGATAAAACAAACCAGAATAGGACAAAACAGGCAAACAGAAGAAAAAGAGCAAAAGAAAAAGCTGAAGAAACACAAATAGACATAGAGACACACATGTTCACACACAGAGAAATCTCATTTGGCTGTCTCTTAGGTGCATAGCATTTCCCAGTACTCATCATAGCTTTCCTTGACGTTTATTCAAATCAGAGTTGTTGACCAATGATGTCTGAAAACCACACAAAGCTTTTCAAAACATGGTTCTGTCTTAGACATGATGGATTGTAACCTTGTAGGGAACCCAGGTGTCTGCTGTGGGATGTCTTTCTGCGTACTGTGAATATACGTTGCTCTCATTGGTTGATAAATAAAGCTGTTTGGCCAATGTTGAGGCAGAATAAGGTTAGACAGTACATTCAAACTGAAGATAGAGATGAAGAACGGTGAAAGGAGGCAGAAGTTGTGAGCCACCAGGAGAAGCAAGATGTGAGAGAAGAGATAATGTCATGAAGCCACATGGCAAAACATAGATGAATAGAAATGGATTGAACTAAGTTACAAGAGCTAGTTAATAATGAGCCTGAGCCATGGCCATACAGTTTGTAATTAATATAAGCCTCTGTGTGTTTACTTGGGACTGAGTAGCTGTGGGATCAGGCAGGACACAGGAAAACTTCCAGCTACATTTGGCACCCAATAAACCCACAATCCTGGGATTAAGAGTCCTGTGCGCTTTTGAATGAGCTAGCCGGGTGTGGCCTCGGGGCTACCCTTAAGACCTGAAGGGCACATACACCTGGGTCTGTTCTCTCTTGTGGATTTGATTGGTGATGGTGGAGACTGACTCAGGCAACAGAAGTGGCATGGGACAGACCACCAGCCTTCTAGGACCCTATGACAGATTTGCCTATCCTGTTTAGTGAGCTGTTCTTCCCAAAATAATTTCTAAATAAACAGTTCCTTTATCAATAATTTTCCGCAATCAATGTCTACACTGAAAAACAAGTTTTCCAAATGGTTTGTGCTTATACTATTTTTTAAACTATTTTTTTTTTAGAATTTCATACATGAGTACTGATTTACGTTATTTCTACCCTCCCCCCTCAACTCCCTTTCAAACTCATGACCTCGTCTTTCACTATTATTACAGCTTGCTGAGTCCATTTACTGTCCTCCATGTGGTTAGAACTGATGACTCGGGGTTGGATCACCTCTGGGGTTATCTCATCTTGGAGAAGACTGATTCTCCTCTCAGCAGCCATTCGCTGCCTGTAGGTCTTCTTCGAGGGGAGAGGAACTTATGAGACGTCCCTCGTTCACGCTGGCATGTCAACCGGTGTTGCCATGGTGCAAGTCTTGTCTAGGTGACTGGGTTGTTGAGATGTCATGGGTGCAGCGTCCTCACCAAATACAGAAACCACTCTCTCACAGCAGATGTCCTGGTGTTCTGGCTCGTGCAATCACTTCCTCTTCTATGATGCTCCCTGAGCCTTAAGTGTAGGGGTTGTGCTGTAGACATGGCCAGTGGTTCTCTGCACCTTGTCCAGTTGTGGATTTTTGTAATGGTCTGTCTGCTTTGTTAGGGGTGTGTGTGAGAGCTATGCTTAACAACTACTTTTCAAAAGAGATGTACAGCTCAGAATATATCATACTATAAATCTCACTCTTGTTCTATCTATAGAACATTTACCAGATGACATTCATGCTGGACTGAAGAGAAGGCAACCTTAAAGGAGAAAGGAAGGCATGTATGAAAATAAACACACACACACACACACACACACACACACACACACACACACACATGCAGTATACTGAGTATTAAATTGCTCTTAGTTGTGGTCACTGAATAAAGGGGGAGGAGTGGGTATGTAAGCCTTGATTTTCATCCTCATCTCCATTTTCTTTACACTTCTGTATGTAACTAATTGACCAATACTGGCAACTGGAGTCACCCCAGCTTAGACTGACCACTCTGACTTCAAATGCACTGTCAGAGTTGTCCTAAGTCCTGTCAGCCCTTAAGAATCACCCGAGGAGATTTTGAAAATTGCTGTGGTTTGAGTCACTCTTAGACCAATTGCCTTCTCTTCAGTCCAGCATGAATGTCATCTGGTTGTGCAAGACCCAGTGGACACTGCCCTTTAAGACCTTCCCATGATTCTCCTGTGCAGCCAGGCTTGAGGAGCCTTTCTTTGCAAGCCGCTTTTCTACTCCAATTTGTCATTTTGATGCTTGTGAGCCGTGTCCTGCATTCTGCCCTTAGAGAGCTCAGAGACAGTACAAATCACTGTACACACTCTTCCTCCTCGTCCAACATTTGTTTTTCAACAGTTTCCAGGCTGTATTTGCCTCCCACCCACCAACTCCATTCTCTACAGAATTTCCTGAAATATGCAAATGCCAGCATCTTTATCCTTCTCGCCCCTGTGGGTATAGATTCCCATGTGGTGTCTCTGGAGATTCTAGAAACTTCTGAGGTGTCTGAAGGAGTTGTAAGATGCCTCTCAGAGGACGGTTTCCAAGAACAGACAGGCATTCAGAACTTAAGTTCAGTGTGTTGGCGATTTGCCATGTATTTTCAGGTGGGTTATTATATATTTTCTTCATAACTTCATGATCTATACTGAGGGACCTTTACTAGGTCTGTGTTTTCACATATGAGGAAACTATAGTCTAAGAATTTCTTGACCCCAATTCCTAGAGCTAGAAATATATGGCTTAGGTCTTCTGAATTCTATTCTTCAATCCTTCCTATCACTTTATCAAAAACTGCAGTAATTTTTAAAAAATCAACAGTTGAAATTTGTAATTAAAATATTTATAAAATCATCAACATGCATAACCAATTTAAACTATGGATTTCTGTGTTTTTTGCAAAGTATGTCCACAGGCCTCTGAGACTAAATATTAGATCTGATTGTGATTCCAGGACCAGCAGCATGGTTATCACCAGGGAGCTTGTTAAGGATGGGGACTCTCTGGCCTCACTCAATCCCACTGCCTCAGACACTCTACAAGTAGAGTATAACAAAGTGTATTTTAAGAAGCCCCCCAGAAGGTCTGATGCATGTTGAAGTGAGAGTCTCATACCGTACCCAAATTCCAGGATCCACACTGTCTGGGAGAACATAACAGCACAGAAACCTACCTGATCCAGCTTGGTCATTGTGACTCCAGAGCTCAGGCTTACTACTCACCATTGGACCATGTCTTAGAAGGAAACCAAAACATTTCCTCTTAGAACATTGAAGTTTATTGGACT